AATTCCAATCTTCACTTGGGACCGGTCCCCGTGTCCCTGGATCCCGCCACTCCACATGTGGAGAGCTCCGGCCGCGGCAAGGCAATGACACCTACGGCACTGATGTACGATAAACGGACTCTCCATCGAGTTTCGCGAGGTCTGCCGCGGCATATCTCGTTGCTTAGACATTGCACTAACACAAACCAGGCCCATGTTCTCATCGGCCAGACAGGATGCATCGTGAACAAACATAAAGTCAAGGTGCAATATGCGTGGGCGGCCTCAGCCTTGGCCTCGACTTGCCAGTCACTACAATAACTTCTTGGCGATACCTTCAGGGTTACTATATTCAGAGCGGAATCATCGTGTCCTGCCGCTCATGGCACCGCCCTCCGACTCGGACGTGTATGATGCTACTGGTAGTCCAAAGTCCGAGTCTAAGTGAGTAGTAATGAAGCTGGCTCATTCTATAGAGCTAACTGGAATGTACATATCGCAGTCGCGGTATCGCACTAGATTCTGATGAAACATGGATGAAAGCTCATCAACTACGCCGCGGCGAGCCTGACTCGGACTCGCGGGTGGATACCGTGACCAATGCCGCCACGGCAGCTGCCGTCAGTGTCAGTGGAGCGCGCGTTAACATTGCCCTTTCCGCGCAACCTTGTCAGAAAGCGCCACTGGACTCCCCTGGACTCATTCCTTGGAGCGTAAAGCTTCGCGTTGATGAGCTGGCATGCGCGCAGCCAAAATGGATTCGGCCTGCTGGATTCGGCCTGCCAGTGATTACCGCGATTTGAAGCTGCAGGCTGAAAAATACAGGATAGATGTACGGGCATTGTGCTGCCTTTGCGATGTGCCGTATACTCCGGCTGCAGTACTAGTAAGTCCTTCATAGTGCGCCGAAGAGAACTTGACGACTGATTAAAGTTCAAGTTCATCGCAAGTTTTGTAATGCGGCGCTGGATGCAATTTGCCCTGAGCGCCACACCACCATCTCCCTCTCCCGCTAATGTGAAAAGCATGCAGCCGAGCGTGCCGCCCCCGCCCGGCCGCCACTGGTAGAATGATATGATGGACCATTCGAAAGCGAATTTGACCGTTCATATGCTCGCGGGAATTAGAGGTGATTTCATCCTGGTCCGCGTATAAAAGCTGGCTTTACAGGTCTGCATTCCCCAGTCTGGTCTTCTCCAACTCTGCTTCAGAAACTTGAACTCAACATGTTCTCCTTTACCGCACTCAATGCAGTCCGTCTCCTCGCGGCAGTGGCCGTTGTCCAAAGCGCAGTCGTGGCTCCCGTGGTCAATCGCTTGTTTCGTACCGTATTTCCTAGTTGACTGACGCGACGCTCCTCAGCGCAAAGATGTGAACGTCACCCTGGTACGCGGTCCCGTTTCAATTAGTGCCTCGCAGCTCAAGAGAAATGATCCATGCAGACGGTCGACCAGCAGGCGCTCGTCGCCGCGGCCAGCACCTTGATGACGGACGTTAACGATTTGGTCGCGCTCACCAATGGCCTTGTCAGTGACGGCATCACCACAGCGTCCGGCGCCGCTGGCACAGCCGTGGGCGACCTGCAAACTATCGCACAGGTGGGCCGCAGTCCAAAATTGCCCACTCGTACTTAAGTTCATGACCTAGAACATCCTGCCCGCCGCTGGACAGCTCGTCCTCGCGACGCTTAGCAACCCGGCGATCAACGGCATCCTCGGCGGGGGGCTTGCCGGGACGCTCACGGGCTTGACCAGCACCCTTGCTGCCAGTGGCGTGATGGCAATCCTCGGCGCGACTGGTAACGTCGTCGCAGAGCTTCAGACGACCCTTGCGCTCCTTCTCGCCGCTCTCAACGCGTTCGCCGCCGGCGCAGTCGGGCGCCGACCCGCTCACCCTCACCGAGCTCGTCGCGCCCGCGGACGGCCTCCTCGTCAACGCAGGCGCACTCGCTGCAGCGCTCGTCACCACCGGGGGCATGACCGTCACGTCCAGCCAACGCACTTGTCAACCAGGTCATCGCGACCGTGAACACCGTCTTCGCCGACACGGAGGCGCTCCAGGCCGCCGGGCTCTGCAACTGTGTCGACGCTAACGTCGTCACGGCCGTCAACGCGTTGTTGTGAGCTGCTAAGGCCAACTTTTCAATATATTTCATACAGTTGCTTGTTACGTAGTCTCGCTTGAAACACGCATGAATTTGTCTGAGTTCCTTTTTTTCACGATGCTAGCAGAGACTCAAGTCCAGTTCGAGGAAGATAATTATGAGAAAACCCCTTACACTTTCGGTGACTTACCTGGTGTCCGGTGGAGGCTGAGACAAGGGTACCGCAGATCATCAGCTGATGACATCAAGTCACACATGTCACATAGGGTAGGGTGGGCAGGGTGAAATTTCACTTTTTGGACTTGTGTCTGGAGAAGATTCATGGACATTTAGGAGGATTAGAAATGCACAGTTATATGTTTTTAGGACTTGTTGCCAAAGAATCTGGAATGTTTAAGGGCCTATATCCCAATTGGGAGAGTTTGATGATAAGTACAGTGCTAAACAATGACATGTAAGTATGACATTTACATCTGCTTCTTTCCTTCCCATATGGTATTTCTTAAATGGCCCTGGCATAGAATCCAATGAGCCCAGTGCTGTGTCCTGTACAGACACTGATAACAAACAATTTCCTTTTTGGGAAGTCACATGGCTTAGTCATGCTTACGTCAATAGGGTAGGGAGGGCTGGCTTGTCCTTAATTCACTTTTTCGACCCGATGTCTAGGATTTTTTTTGCGAGGTACCCTTGGGCTGAGAAACAAGTTCAAACTACATGGATAATTCAAGTTTGTATATTACTATAGGGGGACTGCTCTCTATAGTTAAGCTTGAAACTATTAATTAGTGCTAGCCAAATATGAATATAATAAGCATTCCAGATATTATAGCATACTCATGTCATATTCACCAATTTCAGAAGGTAATAATTTGTAGTATAATATATTTATACTCAGCCACTGATATTGAATATAATATGAATATATCCAAATATATTATTATAACTTTTAACTACCTATAAACCAGCTTGAACTTGATATTTTTGTCTGGAGTATGACCCCTAGAGAGGCTGTAACTATCATGCAAATCTTAAACCCAATTAGGATACTGTTACCTTCAAACAATCAGAGAGACCGGGAGGCAACATTTTTGCCTGGCTTTAAGGGGCAATTTAGCTTTATTACCTTACTTCCTCAGCTCAAAATACCTTCAGCTAGGGAGCAGCACTTGGCAATGTTTCTTGATGATAAACACCAAAGAATGATGTTCTATCAGATGAAATAAGTAGCCTTACTACAGGTAGAATGAATCTGTACTTGACTGAGAATCTAGGAATTGTGGACCTAATATAAGTATATGAATATCATCAAATATACAAGCTTGATAATAGAGACATTGCACCACTGCCATTGGAGCCATTGAAGATGGCTCATTAAATTGCTTCTTAGTATCTATAGACATTATTTCTTAACAAAAATTGGACATTGACTATATAATAAGGTAATCTATTCTGCCCCCAAATCTGGTCCCAAACAGGCTAAAAAATACAGCCATTGGAGCCATTCAATGGCTGTGGCACAACATCTCTAATATATTATACTCAGATCATATTGTACTATAATCATATTAATTCATATTGTCAGGGGAACCTCCCTTTCGGCCCCTCGGAGACGATTCCGATTCCGGTCCGACTCCGGTTCCGACTCCGGCGATCGCATCACCGCCTCCGTCAGGCGCATCGCCGCCCCCGCCTGGCGATCCCCCTGGGACCTGGCCTGCGACATGGCGCAGGCATACTGCACGGAGCAACGATCAACCTTGGCGCGTCAAGAGCGCAGTATATAGTTCCGCTACCTAGCAGGCGGACCCTTAGAGTTTCTTCTCTTTGGATCCTCCCCTGCTAGGTCAGCCTCACTTGTATTTGCTTACTTCTATTCACTCTTTGGATCCTCCCCTGCTAGGACCTTGATCTCAGGCCTCCGGGGTTGCCCTTACACATATTTAGAATTTAGGTAGGCTGATTTATAATCATAGTATCCAGATCATATTCAATATTTATTCAAAGATATTTATTGATGGCCAGCAATACTTACTATCATATCAATCAGTACATATAGGGGAAGGACTAAGAAAAAGCCCAGAAGATTGGCATGTGGAGATACCAGACACTGAGGGGATTGAAGTGGGGGGAAACAGTTGCCCTCAGGCTATTACTGCACAACACACATCTATCTCATCTATGATCTATAATTATAAACTAGAGATTATTCTAAGTAAATCATCATTGATATATGATAAATCCTACCAAATAAGACAATTTACTGATAGGATGAGTGAGGGCTGAGTATGCTGCCTAAGGGCCTGAGATTACACTGAAATGCAGTATTAAGCCTATACTTGTGTCACTCCCCAGAAATGAAATAAGTATGAACTATTCCGACTCAGCGACAAGTAAAGGTATCAACTAGTCGAAAGTTATTCACTGCATTTGTGTTTTTGTACGAATTACTGTATTGTTAATTTTCATAGACAGTGATACCCTGAAACTAGCGTTGTCATATCTATACGACCCTGAACTTGGGTTATGGCTACGATCAGGTTCCCAGTTAGGATCTTTATCGGCCTCGCCACACGCCCGTGTCGCGCTTGGCGCAGCCAACTTTAAAGCTGGACAAGGATCTGAGCCTGGACCGTTCGGAACGCATGTCGCGACTCGCGACGTTTGTCGCCGGCAACCTGCACCGCCCGGGGAGCGGAAACCGGACATCAGGCACGCACGACGCCGATTGCGACGGAGAAGAAGCAAAAGTCGGAGAAGCGCTGTCACGACGCATCACGAAGTGCGGCTTCTTCCTGCCTCTTTGGGGGCGCCTGGTGATCCGGGCCAGCAACGATAAGCGGGATGGCCCAATATTTAAGCAGCGCGGACGGAGAGTCTCCGGAAGTGCAAACTCTTCCCTTCTTCACGATTTGAAATGGCCGACACGACACGAACCCAGATGGCGACGCTCCGCCAGCTTACGAAGATCATTAACGACTCGCTGGACACGATTGAGGCTACCTACACCACCGCCGGAGTGCATCTCCCGACATTGAATACCCCCAGCTTCTCGCCCACAGACCCATCCGAAGCGCTCCGGGCAGACCCTGCAGTGGCAAAGGCCACGCTCGACGTCATGGCCGCCGCTGCGCAGCTCTCCGCCGAAGTCTGCAGTCCACTCACAATGATGCTCAATGCTTCCCAATCGGTGCGGGACTCGATTCCACATCGAGTGTGCTTCGGCTAACCTCGTTGCAGTTCTACATTGCGTCTTGCCTGAACGTCGCGTCCGAGCTCAACGTCGTCGAGATCCTGAAGGAGTATGGCACGAAGGGCCTCCACGTGAATGAGATCGCGGCTCGGTGCAAGGCCGAGCCTGGACTGCTTTGTGCGCACATTTCCCCCTCCCTTCGTATATCATAGCCTGACACGCCTTTCTAGCGCGAATTCTGCGCCTGCTCGCCACCCACCACGTTTTTCGCGAAGTCACACCCGATGTGTTTGCCAACAACCGCATCTCCGCCGTCCTCGACAAAGGCCAGTCCGCCGCGGACCTGTTTGCCAAGTATGTGCCCCACATCCCAGCCTCCCTGGCTCACCGAAAAATGTAGACCCGAAGACCGTTTCAACAAGGCCACGGGCGTAATCGCGCTCGCCGAGTTCTTGTGCGTGCCAGTTTCCCATCCCTCGTTTTCTCACACATCATCAGCTCTAACGACATCCTGCGCTGCTCCGCGGAATTGACTGCCACCATTCTCGACCCCAAGCCAAACGTGTACCCCTACAACCGCGCATTCAACACCGACCTCCCGATGTACTACTTCCTTCAGCGTCCCGAGAACGCATACCGGTTGAAGCGCTTCGCACTGGGAATGCAGGGCACGGAGACAACGGGCAGCCTTAGCGAGGGTGTCCTCGGTGGGTTCGACTGGGACTCGTTGCCCACCGGCGGCGTTGTTGTAGACGTCGGGTGCGGCAATGGCCATGTCTCGCTCAGCGTCGCGCAGAAGCACCCCAAACTGAAGATCATCAACCAGGACCTGGAGATGCAGGTGGCGCAGGCCAAGCAGGTGAGGGGGCTGTTGTAATGTGTTTCTGGTTAGCTGACTGGCGGCAGCACTGGCAAACCGAACTGCCCTCCCACGTCGAGAACCAGCTGGTCGAATTCCAAGGTATGGCCTTTTCCTTTCCTCGAGGGTCATACTAACATCACCCAGAACACGACTTCTTCAAGCCGCAGCCCGTGAAGAACGCGGATGTCTTCATGATGCGCTTTATCGCTCACAACTGGGACGACGCCAAGCTTGCACATATCCTGCAGAACCTGCGTGACGCCGCGAAGCCCACCACAAAACTCGTTATCCTCGACAAGATCCAACTCTTCGCAGCCCGTGCGCCGGCCGGGGGAGACGCCACCCTCGTCCTTGACGCCGGCGCGCCGCAGGCCCAGGAGCCGCTCTTGCCCAACTGGGGCATCGGCAACACTGAATATTATTTCTTCGACATCGGGGTCTGTCGCTCCTCGTTCCCGTTTGCTCCCCAGTTTGCTGAAACACGTGTCTGTAGGTCCACATAATGCTCGGCGGCGGGGAGCGCACACTGCCCGCCTTCGTCGCCGTGCTTGAAAAGGCCCATTGGCGCCTGGAGAAGGTGTACCGCCCGAAGGGCTCCCACCAGCCGCATCTTGTTGCTGTGCCAATTTAACCTGTACGAGTAGCTCATTCTGAGGAATTTTGAATCATATATCGATACCATTAGTAGGAGCCTAGAGACTGAGAGAGTTCAGGTTTGCCCCGGAGTTATATCGTTGCTCGGATCGATCGCATGACGAAGCTCTAGACGACGAGTAACTGGAGGGAGCTTGATAACGACGCGAGGTGTCGATGTGGCCAACGGCTGTCAGGGACTATGGACAGTGACAACGTTATCGCAACCCAACAAGCAGCCGATCAGGATTCAAAAGCGCTGTCACACATGGGCGCTGGTTGATCCGTAAGATTGGCGACGGGGGAAGCGGGGGATATTCAGGGTATTTAACGTCCTCTTGAGGCATGTGGGCTCTTTTGTTTTGCTGCTTTCCTTTGCTCGATGGCCGACACGACACGCACGCAGATAGAGACGCTGCGCCAGCTCGCGAAAATCGTCAACGAGTCGCTCGACACGATAGAGGCAGCCTACTCGCAGGCAGGGGTTGCCCTCCCAAGCTTGAACAGCCCAACGTTTTCGTCTGCGGACCCGGCTGAAGTGCTGAGGACGGAGCCAGCGGTGGCAAGGGCCACGCTCGACATCATGGCCGCGGCGGCACAGCTCTCCGCCGAGGTCTGCAGCCCGCTCACGATGGTGCTGAATGCGTCACAGTCAGTACGTATTTTGCACCTGTGAAAGGCGGCGGATCCGCTGACTTTTGGGTGGCAGTTTTATCTGGCGTCGTGCCTGAACGTGGCCTCAGAGCTGAATGTTGTCGAAATTCTGAAGGAATATGGGGCAGGAGGCGTGCATGTGGACGAGATTGCGGCGCGAAGCAAGACGGAGACTGGGCTACTCTGTGAGTTCCCATCCCTACGCCGCTCAGGCCGGTGTCGACCACTTTCCAGCTCGGATTCTGCGATTACTCGCCACCCACCACGTCTTCCGCGAGGTTAAGCCCGACGTGTTCGCTAACAACCGCATCTCCGCGGTCTTAGACAAGGGCCAATCGGCGGCGGACTTGTTTGCAAAGTGAGTGGCGGTTATCCATAAGCCGTCCAGCCAGCTTAGGGCATGATGCAGGCCAGAAGAACGATTCACCAAAGACACCGGCATCGTTGCGCTGGTGGAATACTGGTGCGCCACAGTATCGTTCCCCAGATGTTGATGTTTTCTAACAGATGGAGTCAGTTCCGACGACCTCCTGCGTGTCTCAGCCGAACTCACCACGACCATCCTCAATGCCCAGCCAAACGTGTACCCGTACAACCGCGCGTTCGACACGGACCTCCCAATGTTCTACTTCTTCCAGCGTCCTGAGAACGCGTACAAATTGAAACGTTTTGCGTTAGGGATGCAGGGAATCCAGACGACCAGCAGCCTTAGTGAAGGTGTGCTGGGCCAGAGCGGTAGGTTAGGCTCGGAATCGCCATGAACTGGGAGTGACGAATATCGATAGGATTTGAATGGGACACGCTGCCTGCTGACGCGGTTGTCGTTGATGTCGGGTGTGGAAACGGCCACGTCTCGCTCGCCATCGCGCAAAAGCACCCCAAGTTAAAGATTGTCAACCAAGATCTCGCGCGGCAGGTCGGACTAGCCAAACAGGTGTGTAGTCTGTGATTTTCATGAGGCGATGATTGAGCAGTCCGTAGTACTGGGAGACAGAAATGCCGTCCCACATCGAGAACCAGCGTGTCGAATTTCAAGGTGCGGTCTGTTGCTCCGGAAAACAAGAAGCTAAGGCGACGCAGACCACGACTTCTTCCAGCCGCAGCCCGTGAAGAACGCCGATATATTCCTCCTGCGCTTCATCGCACACAATTGGGACGACGTCAAGCTCGCCCATATCCTACAGAAGTTGCGCGACGCTGCCATGCCGACAACAAAGCTCGTAATCCTCGACAAAATCCAGCTATTTGCCGCCAGCTGGGTCGGACAGTGATCCCGCGCTGGCATTGGATTCGGGAGCACCAGTCGCGCAGGAACCGCTTCTGTCGAACTGGGGGGTCGGCAATGCGGAGTATTACTACTTCGATATGGGCGTGCACAACATGCTCGGTGGCGGAGAACGCACATTGCCTGCCTTCGCCGCGGTGCTTGCGAGGGCGCATTGGCGCCTGGACAAGGTGTACCGCCCGCAAGGATCGCACCAGCCGCATATAGTCGCAGTGCCGATGTAGCTAAGTATGCAATCGTCGTGCGAGACGTGAAGCACTTGATGGATGGGAGTTGAGAAGCAGAATTGAATGAGTCACATGAGAAAAATATGCGATAAAGATCAAGTCACAGAATGACACACAGATTCCTTTGAATCGGTCTCTTTCTCGGACCACGATGTCGATGTCCTCCCCTGCTACCAAGTCAGGGAACAATCTTGCCAGTACCGCCGATGTACTGGGCCTCGCCGCTGAGCTCACGACGAGCATCCCAGTTGCCGGCAGTGCGGTTTCCAGCTGCCTTTCGGTAGCAAAAGGCTTGCTGGAGATGGTGTCGGTGAGTTCACTTTCCTCTGTATCAATTAAGATATGAATGTGTTTGTATAGACTGCAAAAGACAACAAGAAAGAGCTCCCGGATCTTATTGTTCAGTTAGAAGAAATCTGTAAAATGCCACTGGAGATGTTGGCCGATATTCAAGATGTCAAGGATCTAGTGATAGTATTGCAGAGGTTGTAGGTTCATTACATTTATACTGATATTGAAACTTTGTATAGCAAGCTTGAACCTTTTATCTCTGAATGCCAAAATCTTCTTCAAACCTCTAGTAAAAAGAGAAATTTCTGGAAGAGTGGACCAATCAAAGAGGATATCAATAATCTCAAGGCAAAACTTCAGGCTCATCTTCAACGATTTATAGTTAGTCTCCAATGAACAATATGCAAAAGAATTTGATATTGATTTTCATTATCAGGGAGACATTAATATAGCTTTGGTCAAACAGCTTCACAGATTCTATAATGAGAGTAAGAAGTCTGGTTTATCTAATTATTCAAATCCCTGATCCCCTCAAGGCAAAATAAACAGAACTCTGGATAAATTAGAAGCAAAATATACTCTGGCTCAGTATAATGCTGACAATACACCAAACCCTTGTTTGGAACATACAAGAGTGGAAGTCATCACAGAAATTATCAATCGGCTAACTCAGGATCAATACATAGAGCAAATTGTGCTGCTTACTGGATCTGCAGGGTCTGGAAAGTCAACAATTGCAAAAACTGTAGCCACCAAACTGGCAGAGGAGCATTCTCCACATGCTCTTGCTGCCTCATTCTTCTTCTCATACCGCTTTGCTGAACGAAATGATCATAGGGGCCTGCCTGTCTCTCTGGCCTATCAGTTGGCAAAATATAGTTCAGCTTTCAAAAAGCTTCTGGTAGACTTTTTGGAAGAAAACCAGTTCCAGGTTCTCAATGAAGATCCCACAAACCAGTTCAACAAACTTGTAGTTCAACTGTTACAGCAGTTGCCTATAGTGCCTGCCAAGCCATCCTGGGTTATTTGTTTAGATGCTCTTGATGAGTGTGGCCAAGATCATGGACAGGTGGTTGTATCCTGGCTAACAAGTGCAAGAGACAAGATTCCTGCACATGTTCGTTTTTTCTTGACTGGCAGGCCACAAGTCCCTGCTACAATCATGACTGGTCCTCTCGGGGCATTTTCCTTTGAGATTAGGCTAGACAATCTGGATAAAACCATTGTAAAAGCAGACATTGAGAGGTATCTCAAGCATTCTCTGCCAATTGCATCTCCAAATTGGCAGGATAAGTCAATAGCATCATCTACAATTAGCTATATTCTAGATCATGCAGCTGGACTATTTATCTATGCAGCAACCTCTGTAAGGTATATTGATGCCCTAGACTGTGAAAATACCTGGGATGAGCAGGCAGAATATCTCAGACAAATACAAACAGGCCATGAAGATCTGAACACACTATACTATAATGTAGTCTCCCTTGCTATTCAGCAGCCAAAGGTCAAGGCTGAACAATGGAAGAAAGATCAATATCAGCAACAATTGCATATTCTGTATACTGTGCTAGGACTTTTGGAGCCTCTTGGCCTCAAAGATCTTGCCAGAATACTAGATATGAAGCAGGAGAAACTTCATAAGTCTCTTATGAGACTAAGTGCTGTGGTGTCTGTTCCAGCTCTAGGTGACTCTAGCCTTGTGCAGGTATATCATCTGTCTTTCACAGAGTTTATGAAACAAGCACCATCAAATTTCCAGAATCCAGATCTAAGCTGCAACTCAAGAGAGGCTGAAATCTTTACCTTACAAAGAACTGTCAAGATATTACAAGAAGATCTCAAATTCAACATTTGTAAACTTGCAACATCATACAAGCCTAACCAAGAACAAGATTTAGATGTTGAAGCATGTATTCCACCATATCTGAGATATTGTGCTATACACTGGATTCAACATATTACAGAAAGAACACAGGATGAAATTTGTATTCAGAAGTTTATGATGACCAAGTTGTGGTTATGGCTAGAAGTGATTGGGCTGCTTGGGGAAGTAAGCAGAGTGGTAAACCAAGTGATGCAGGTCCTGACATGGGCTAAGGTGAATACTCTGATCCCTAAGCTGAAAGCTCATATTACATAGAATGAGAAGTCCAAAGCTACATTCCAGGAAATTGGTAATTTTCTGCGAGTGTTTGGTGGATGCATACAGCACAACACAGCACATTTATATATATCGGCCATGAGTTTGATCCCTGCAAGTGCCAGAACATTGGCTTCACAAGTGGAGCAGGGAGGATGGACCAAACCAATCACAGTTATACAAGGGCATTGGAGTTCCTGGCCACAGCTTATTAGGACCATAAAACTGGGAATCTCAGTCAATGTGATAGCATGCTCACCAGATGGCCAAAGTATTGCTATAGGTAGTAACCATGATATCAGTCAATGGAACATAATAACAGGTCACTTGATTGGACATCCCTTGACAGGACATACTAGCTATATTTCCTCTATTGCATACTCACCAGATGGTCATTATATTGTCTCTGGCTCTGGTGATAACACTCTCCGAATCTGGGATGCATTCACTGGGAAACTTGTTGGAAATCCTCTTCAAGGCCATACTAGCTATGTTTCTTCAGTTGCTTATTCACCAGATAGCCATTATATTGTCTCTGGCTCTGGTGACAGGACTGTGTGTATATGGAATGCATTTACTGGCATTGGAAATACTCTTGGAGGACATAGTCATGATGTTCTTTCAGTTGCCTACTCACCAGATGGTCAGCATGTTGTCTCTGGCTCTGGAGATAAGACCCTCCGCATATGGAATGTACTTACTGGTGATACTGTTGGAAATCCTCTAACAGGACACACTGATGATGTCTGCTCTGTTGCATACTCCCCAGATGGTCAATATATTGTTTCTGGGTCTAGTGACAGTACTGTATGCATATGGAATGCACAAACTCAAAATCTTGTCAGAAGTCCTCTTACAGGTCATACCAATGTTGTTTTCTCTGTAGTCTTTTCACCAGATGGCCAATATATTGTCTCAGGCTCTGTTGATAAGACTCTGCAGATATGGAATGCACTTACTGGAGATGCTGTAGGGCCTCCTCTAAAAGGACATACCTATAGTGTCTACTCAGTGGCATATTCACCAGATGGCCAGTATATCTTTTCTGGATCTGCTGACAACAACATATGTATATGGAATGCACTCACTAGAGATCCCATTGATATTCCTCCTCAAGAAGATATGAGCTGGATAGACATAGTTTCATTCTCACCAGATGGTCAATATATAGTTTCTGGCTCTCCCAACAAGACTGTGCGCATATGGAGCTTCCTGAGTGGGAGTCTTGTAGGGCATCCTCTTGAGGGACACATTGGTGTGATTTGCTCAGTTGCTTACTCCCCAGATGGTCAGCATATTATTTCTGGCTCTAGTGACAGAACTATAAGAGTCTGGGATTCACATACTGGACAGTCTATTAGGCATCTCAAAGGACACACTGGTATGGTGTGCTCTGTTGCATATTCCCCAGATGGCCAGCATATTGTCTCTGGCTCTGGGGACAAGACCCTGCATATATGGAATGCACTCACAGGAAATCTTGCTATGCCTCCTCTTGAGGGACATACCCATAGTATTTTGTCAGCTATCTACTCCCCAGATGGCCAGTCTATTGCATCTGCCTCAGATGACAGAACTATACGTAGATGGAATGCAGCTACAGGAGATCTTATTGGCCACCCTCTGGAAGGACATACTGGCAGTGTTATGTCAGTGGCATACTCACCAAATAGCCAGTATATTGTTTCTGGCTCTAGTGATAATACTGTGCGAATCTGGGATGCACTCACGGGAGATCTAGTAGGAAAGCCTCTCCAAGGACATACTGACATGGTCTTCTGTGTTTTGTTCTCACCAGATGGCCAGTATATTATATCCAGCTCTCGTGACAGAACTATCCGGATTTGGAATCCACTTACCAACAACTGTGTTGGGTGTCTTGAAGGCCATACAAATGATGTCTGCTCAGTTGCATGCTCACCAGATAGTCAGTATATTGTTTCTGGCTCCCATGATAATACTCTACGTATATGGAATATTCCCAGGAATATTCTAGATCATGATCTATCCTTACCAAACTCTTATCCTGTTGCAAATGTAAGTTATGCTATAATCATTTCCCATTGATATCTTTCTAATATCATATATGAATCTAGTTGTCACCCTTTTGGAAGCTAACAGATGATGGCTGGATCCTGTCTGAAGAAGGAGACCTTCTCTTCTGGTTGCCACCCCACCATCAAGCTGGCTTTCATATGCCCCTGACTACCAAAGTTATTGGAACCTCTGAAATCATTCTGTCTTATGATAACTTTGTGCATGGGAAAAACTGGACACAATGTCATTCTTAGACTGGTATATAGTATTTGAATTGAGGCAGCATTTATTTTGTGGTGGCTCTATTACTGACCATAATATGTTAGCATGTGATCAAAAAGAAAGAAGAGAAAACCATGAGTATTTTGTATGTATAACCCTTAAATTTCGAAGGTACATTGAAGACCCTAGTGTAGTTTGGTATTGTAAAAATTAAATAGGACTACAACATTGAAAAACCTATATATTCTAGTATTTAACTCAATTTAAATGCCAATTTTAGGGTGACATTCAATATGAAAATTTAAAT